ATTATTATTATTATTATTATTATTATATATATATATATATATATATATATATATATATGAAAATGATATTTTGACCTTGTATTAACGAAAACGACTAAAATATTATTTATTATTTTCCATCCCAAATTGAAAGCCATGTAATCCTAAGATTCTTAATCATGTCGTCTATGAGTATTTAATTATTAATACCATTAAAGATAATGACTACAATGCTAATTAATCCCATTATTTGTCTAAACGTAAGCATAGGATAAGTTTTACTACTATTATTAATTAAAGATCGTTTATTTTTAATTTAAAAGTTAAAAAATCCCAGCTAGTATATTCCATTAGTCCCTTGAACCATCACATTTTAAATAATGAAATGAAATAATAATAATAATAATAATAATAATAATAATAATAGATAAAAGTTATCTGTATGTTTACACCAAGTCAATACATGCATGTCACGTGTTTAAATTTATAATTGATCTTACTTCATTAGATTACATAATAATACATTTCGCATCAGCTTGATATAAACATGCACTATATAAACATTCAGTGCAGATAAATTTTTTCCTATATATATATACATTTCTTCCATAAAAATTACAAGTTCAGTTGTGTTGATTGATTAATTCTCCCTTGTATCATCTTACTCAAGTTAGATAGTCTATAGATATATTTTGTTCTACCAAATACAATTAAAATGAGAGGCAAGCAACCATAAAAGGGAGATTTATCCATGTATTTCATATGCATTCAAATCACACTCTTTACACGCTAGAATCTAGATACATGTACTTGTATATATCTAATGTAATTACATATATGAGATATAAGACACATAGGAGAGTAGCAGCTACAGACGCACCAATTACACCTAATTTTGACACATACATCGCAAAAGACGCACTAAAATCTAATAAGATTTATAATATCGCAGAAACTAGGAAATTTTTGAAGTTTCATCTTTACTGGAACAATGCAATTGGGGCAAACATCCAACATAGCAAGTACTAAAAAATACATCTAGTACATAACATCAATTTTATCAGTCAACAACAGACATTAAGTTGGAAATTTCATCCAGAATTAACACAGCTTTGATAATGACCGAAAAGATTCAGGAAAGAAGTCTGCATGAATATCGAACGAGAAGGACAGTATATCACCTCTATGATTCAATGAGTAATCGCAAAAGTTTGATGTAATGGAGATGCAAAAAGTAACGGAGTACAGCAAGTGGCTCCTCAAAAGGCATTCTCCAGCTGAACGTCGAACAAAGAATTGTTGTGCAGAAAAGAAATACGAACTTGTAGTGATGGTTTCACTACAAGCGAGTATTTCTAAGCAAGTTCTTCAGGAAGATCCAGTTCTTGCCGGTCTGCCCCTTTTCCCTTTAACTATAGCTTGCCCTACAATTACAAGCCATTTTGGTTTAGAGACGAGTTGTGCAGAGATGAGTAATGTAGGGATTATTTCTTTTTGGATGTTTAGACTGATTTATAGCAATTAGTGCACAAAATAAAGTTTGTCTACTAATATGAGGCTAAGTTTTGGATTTTAATGTTATTAATCCATGTATTACAAGAGCTACATTCTTTTTACCCCTGTGGGTACAGCAATAAGTTCTTTGACAATCAATTAAGAAGTTTGCATCACATTATTGTTACCATGACTAACAAGTTTAAGTAGATTAGGATACTGACGAGAACTTTCACCAACCTGCAGTGGTAAAAAGACAAGACAAGTATACGAAAGAAAAATAAGCACCAGAGGAAGAAGTATACAGCAGAATATATGTCAAGTAACGGAATGGTATAAAGAGTAAATGGTTAAAATGATTGAATGCTTTTCTTGAAAATATTCCCTGACCAAAAAGAAGCAACCGTGCACAGAAAAACGCCCATTCTTCAATAAACAATCATCACTCAACTATGCCTCAACGTCATATCAATTTGAATAAAAGTTTAAGGACACAGAACCTGTGATGCAGGCATAACCCAACCACGCTCTGGAGACCAATCCAAGGATGGACGCAAATCCTTGACAAAGGCGTCATAAGTTTTACCTTCACCCAATGGAGGTGGCAACAACTCAATCTAAAAAGAAAAAAACATGAAGTATTATCAAACAAATCATTAGCAAAGATACAAAAGCTGTCAGGTATGGTGAGTAGAGGATGGATCCTCAAGGAAAAAAATTTAAGTGCACAACTAAAGTTGCTTTTAATTATCACATCGATTTGAAGAAATAAATCTAAAGTAAAAGGGCATCATGACAGTCCCCAGAAAGTAATTATTTTGCCTGAGGATCTCAAATAATCAATCAATCGACCAACTTTCAAATTTCAATCCCAAATAAAGCTATCCAAGTTCAATTCATTCCAATACAATGTTAACGATACTGTAAATACACCATAACAGTAAATACCTTGTATACCTACAATATCCTTAACAACTTTTTACAGTAATTTATTTCTAAAGGACAACTAGCAGATTCCTAATGCAGATAACTGGATATCAGCAGTAAAAACACAACAAATTAATCAGCATGTATGAAACATAAACAATATTATTACCTTAGCTTTACCATTGTCTAGTAACTTCGTCACTTGACCGGACCAATAACAGTCATCGCACAACCAGTCAACCAAATCGCCCTCCCTCCAAGTACCATCAGAAACAAGAGTTGCATCCGAATTTGAGCTGACATCAGACACTTTGTTTTTCAAGTGGACTGGAGGATACTCAGGCCGCAGCATCAGTTGCCCCATCTGATATAGCTCTGTCCATGCCCATTCTATAATGACAATCACAACGACGAGTAACAATTACTAGGATATAGTCTGAAAGCAACAGTATATCCAAATACACAAGTTTCTCAATTCACAAATCAAGAAAACTCTGAAGAGTAACTTGTCATGACATATGAGGTTAACCCATACTAAATGCTCAGCATTTACCACTGAACTCAATAAAGCAGAAATGACCAGTTACAGCTAACTTTCTCCATTTGTTATATCATGATGGTAGTTATTCAAAACTAGCTGAATTTTCGAGTTGCAAGTTACTGTAACCACAACTAGGGAATAGGTAAATAAAATGCTGGAACTGGAGATAATTATGAGAATATAATATCATATAACAAAATTTGTGAAAGCTTGAAGTAGGAGGCAATGAAGATGAGAATTAGGATTTGTAATTCAGAATTTCCGGGTGAGTGAAACACACCAGTGTACATGCTCATTGACATAAAAATCAGCATCTATTGACCAAGAATGGAAGCATTAAAGAACAAGTTGTAAAGAGCAAAACTCCATTGATCCCAATGACATTAACAGAAAAGAAGGTAACTAGCTGAAGTTGTTCAATGACAGAAGGCAATAGGGCTAGCAGCACAGTGACATTCTCCCTAACAAACACTAAAATGTACATAAAAGATTAGGAGGTACTGTTTCGGCTCACTTACTCTAGATCAATAAACCAGCTCTCAAGAATCAAAAACATGAATAAAAGAACTACTACTACTACATTAAACAATTTCTCTGTGATCACATATTTATTAACTTTTTTTAGCCTTGGTTGGAACGAACATCAAGAGGATCTGTGTCTAGCTCCAACTCCCCAATTCTGCCCAGGGAAAGAGTCGAGACAACTTCGACATATAAAATGTGTTTATGTCTACTTCTGATACTGCCAAATATGTCAGGTTTTCAAATGAGTGATAAGAATTTACAACTGCTACAGCCTTGAGATGTAAGTATCTTAGGTAACTTTTCACAACAATATTTTGTACATGTATTTAGCAACTACAACTGCAGAACCCGCTTGTGGGATTGACTGGGTAGGATATTGTATTTAGTAACTACATTAGATGGTAGTCTCTGCATATAATCTCCATGCATTGTCATATAAAATTCAGATATCAAGAAAGTAAATTATCCTGTGAATTAAATAGAAAAAAATGCACCCATGAATTTAAGCATCGAAATTGCAAGGCACAAGGCATTCTGTTAATTAGCAAGAACAATAAATTAACCAGAATATATCAGAGAACATACTTTCATCTGGATAGTCTAAGTATTGCAATAAGGCGCTCCAATGTCCTCCTCTGAGGCTTATCTCCTGTATCTGATATTATATATATATACAAGAAAAGTGTAACTGCATCAAAAGTCTACTTTAATCAATAAAAAGTCTTTCGTCTAGCAAAAAGCAATTTATTTTTATTGATAACCAGCAAAAAACAATTATTTAAATGCAAAATATGGAAAAGAGTTGAAATCTCTAAAATGAAATGAAAAAAAAACAAACTAAAATCCTATATTATGGTTAACCCCCATCAGCCCAACAAGTAACAGCAGGCTGATGAAACATTGATTACAAATGTTACAAACTGTCTTAGTCCAAAAGGGTAAGTTCTTATACAATGACTTTAATTTGAGGAGAACCACCAAATGGTTCAACATAGTTGTTATGGCAGAAGTTTTACAAACTGAAACTTAAGCAGTTAGGAGTGAAGCAGTCAATGCTCTAAGAACTTGTGAATCTCATACAAATTCAGGATATTACTGAGCAACCATAACCGTACGTTTACAACTTTTTTCTATTCTTACTTACAGAAATCAGTACCCTCAACAAATAGAAGCCAAGCATATGCAGTTCACAGCAAAGCTTTGAAAGAGTGGAGAACACACACAAAGACATAAAAGAGTTCTCCTTTGATTCTTTTTTCTGAAACAGCGAGAGGACATAAAATAAGTAAAGAAAACAATTAAACTAAAACAAATGGATGAATAACTTGAGACAAATGGATCGTGACCAAGCTATCCAGCCAACAACCACCCCACCCCCCTAGAATCCACCAAAATACCCCACTAATTAAAGTTTGTACCTTATATTGTACTCCCCACAACCACCTACTGCCTCCGAACTATTGACTAACACCAAACAAACTAAAGCATTATGCATGATAGAAAGCACAGAGCAAGTCCAGAAGATGAAACCCTTTGGTACCACAACTGTTTCTTTAATGAAGATGTTATATTAGCATGGCATCAAGTAGATGCAGAGTAGTTACAGTTGGTACCAAAAGTGTTTCAGTACAAGTTTAAGAACACTCACTGCACCTCTATTCAAGTCATAAGGATAGCATATTCTGAAACAATTCAAACAGAATATGTCTATCTACTAAAAAAGTAGTTAAGAGCATTGTTAGAGAACCATGTGAGTATTAAGCACAAAGTTGGACAAGAAATAAATATACTCTTCTCTTAGGGCAAATTAATTGGTAAAGAGAGCAAGAAAAGTACATCAAAGTTACCATCAACTTGTTCAAAAGGGACTAGATACAACTAATAAATATTTTTCAACATTTAAAATGAAACTGCTCTATATGCTTACAATCCAAATAATATAATTTGCAAGACAGAAGCTCATGCTATACTCCTCAAGTATTTTTGTACCTTACACCGAAACCACGCTCCACGATATCCCTCCTCCAAACACCTTGCTTCAGCTGTTTGCCCTTCCTTGAAAGGTAATTGATACTTCTGGCCCATGATATCTTTACTAAACAAGCAGCTCTATCAAACACTGATTCTGCAAAATTGTACGTAAATTTAGACAATCATAGTTGTATTATCGATATACAAATATTGATAATAAGAACCAGATAATGTCAATGTTGACTGAGCACGGGATTATAATTCATGAATCAAGATCTCAATCATTAAGGCGTCGTTTGGGAGTGTATAAGAACAATATTGAATAAGGTGTACAAGTAATGTTTTTTTTTAAAACTGAATGTGTATTATAATGTTGAGATTAGTTATACTGGAATAATTTCCTATTCACTGCGTGGTTTTGGTGTATTAAGGAGAGTTTTGCATTTAACCATGCTTATTCATGTATTAATTGCTCTTGTATTGCTAATACCCTGATTTGCTATGTATAAGTTATACAGCCTATAATGTTGAATAGGAGGTACATGAAAATCTTACCAAGTAAAGGACTTAACATACCATGACTAATAGTTTTATTAGATTCTCTAATACATCCTATCAAACAGCCCCCAAGTGTCTTTGATTTTAGGTATGAGTCTAAATCAATCAAATTTTGATCGATAAGTATGCTTTTTATTTCAATCATTTGATAGGTCTAAATAAATTTGAATGATTAATGTAAATAGTGCATTTCACCAATATTCTACTTCCACATCTAACCACCCTCATGGACGCCGTTGCTACCCCATTATTATCAACCACCACCCTCAGTCACTGCCATCAACCACTTCTGTCCATAACCACCATACTGACAATCACCACAATCCATTGTCATCACCATTAGAAACCATTACAATCATCAAAAACAATTGCCTATACCGCAACAACCACCCTTCGCTACCAATAATCACCACCATCAGTCATCATTATATATCGTCAATTATGGTTATCCATTGTCACCAACCATAAGTTATCACTATCATCCATCACAATTATTAATTGTCAGTCATCATCACCATTACATACTACTAGTTCAAATTCTCACCTGTCATCTCATTTTTAACAATTCATTCCTAGTTATATTTGTCAACATAAATGTGCCCTTTAATTTGGCTTCAACTAGCATCTATGCCCTCCAACTATGGGTGTGCATAAGAAGACATGCATCCTACGTGGCAATTTGTGTCCAACGTGTATTATGGCATGTAAAATACGTCAGCCAAGTTTAAGTATCTATTTATGCACACCCAAAGTTGGAGAGAATAGATATCAATTGAGACCAAGTTAAAGGGTACATTTATGGATTATTCCTTTCTAAAATTAACATATTTTGCCCTGGTTTTTGCTTCAAGATCTTGATCTTGGTCATCTGGTTCTAGGTTAACTCAGAGAAATCACTGATGCACCTCGATCCAGTCTTTTGTCAAATAAAATGACAATTTACTTCAATATGCTTCATTAATTCATGAAAAATTAGGTTCAAAGTAATATGTATTGAAGCTTGATTGTCCCATATCAATTTTATGGTGCATCTTTTCCATACCTAATCTTTTGGAGAAGTTGTTTCACATACAAGCTCTATTCTTCCAATTTGTCCAATATATACTTCCTTTGTGAAATGAAAATTTCAATCCTAGATAGTGTCACCTTAATACCTAGAATGTAATCCAACTTACCAAGGTCTTTAGTTTGAAAGTGACGAAGATTCAGCTTAAAATGAATAATGTCTTCGTTCACTTCGAATCAAACCACACCCTTGGTAACCATGCCCTTTGGTGATTACTTGAAAGCATAAGGAGATCAAAAGCCTACATACTTTTCTGAGAAACAAACCTTGACGATTAATCTGTGTCGATCTCTTCAACAAGTTCATTGTTCTAAAACTGTGGCATCCAAGTCAGTTTGCTCACACCTCAACTAATTCTATGGATATCTATTACCTCTCCCATTGACAACATGTACCGAGTAACTTTGTTCACCAAAGCTAGGATAGACATGAAGAAATCACCTAATGTTTTTGTCTCAACTGGTAAATGAACCCGAAACATCATGATTCTCAATCACTTCCTTAATCTCACACACATGGATGCATCCCTATATCAACAAGTTCATTCTAAAGACATTATATATATTTAAGGGATAGAAGTAACTAATGAAACATGGTTGCTATTTAACAAGTACACATGTCTACATTCGCACACATTTAGATTCATTGCAACCCAACAAGGAAAATTACACAGAATATTATATAGGATACCTAAGATATTCTACATTTACAGAAAATTTACTTACCTTGTTAGCTATGGATTGATTATCTACCGTAACATACATAGTCATCAGAATTTATTTCTATTAAACATACCTCCTTGTTTGGACCACTAAATAAAAAAAGAGTTAAATAACATTAAGAAGATTAAAAAGCAAAACTTTGACATCATTACCAAATGGATGCACGATATACTTGGAATGGAATCACCACAACTTTTAGTCTAGTAGTATCAATAAAGTATTCGACAAATAAGTGTAAGTTCGATCTTGAAGAGAAATTTGGTTTTGTAGTTTATTACAAATGTTATTTAGTCATGTGACATTTTTCGTAGTCACCAAAAGTAACCGGGGAGATCCTAACTATAGCATTTTTTTCAAATTATAAGTAGGCATAGAAGATTATTTCATCAATTTTTACTAGCCCTCTATTTCTCTTCCCCACACAAGAATAACAACATACCTAATATAGTCCACATGTGGGATTTGGAGAAGCATGGTGTGGCAAGTCTTACTCCTACCTTGTAGATTGTTTCTAATAGACCATCAGGTTGAGTAAAATATAATAAAATCTTACTATCTAGGGTTATGTCCTTAATAATGGACACCATTATGTTCGATTACCTACCAATTTTCTACCCTAATTCTCAACTTCTATGTCTTACTATCTAGAGCAATGTCCTTAATAAGCTGCAAAATGTGTCATATCCTTACCGAACATAATCAACTCTAGCACTTCCTCATTGAAGCATTTATTTTTCACATGTCTAAACCATTTCAGTCTATATACTCATAGATGTCTACCACAAAAATCACTCTCATCCTAAATATCTTTATTTCTAATTTTATCCGTTCTTGTATGACCCATACATCCATCTCAAAGGTGTATGTTGGTACAAATTTAAAAATTTACACATGTTTAGTTGGTGGAAACATTTTCTCTAAGAATTAAGATACATAAAACGAGGAAAATTATTTTCTTAATAGAAATAAAAGAAGCAAAAACAAAATCCATAAGTAAGCATTTCAAGTTCAATATCCCTACTTCAGCTAACCAACGCCTCCAACCCCCACACCCCAACAAACAATCTTGACCAATCCAAAATGGTCTTAACCAAAATCAAAGAGATAACAAAAAGATAAGGGGATGAAAATACATGAACAAATTAAATTACATACCTTAGAATATGCAATCAATTTAAGGATCCCAAATAACTTTAACTAATATATATTCGGCGCAGATATATATACTAGTTGAATCTAATATAAGTAACTAAAAGGTTAACCATTTAGATGAAACCCTAAAATAGAAGTTCTAATTACCATATTGTCTGTTTTATACATAGAGGCCCAAGCCCAATATATTTATTTGAGAAGTTGAGCATAATCACTCATGACCCAACAAACTGAGGTTGTCACGTGTTATTAAATGTCTAATATGTAGGCTTATCTATTTGGTAAAGCACCAATCTATAGTATTTCAACATCAACCTTCAAGGGTCGTTTGATTGGAAAAACTTATTGTCGGATTAAATAAAACTACATATCTTAGGAGATGTAACCAATTTAGGGATCCCAATAAAGTTTCATTTGTATATACTCGCTGCAAGTACATATATTAGTTGAATCTAATATAAGTTGTCAAAAGGTTAACCATTGACAAAAAAAACCTAAAATAAAAGTTATAATTATCATATTATCTTTTTAATACATAGAGGCTCAAGTCCAATAAATCTATTGGGGAATTTGAGAATAATCGCTCATGACCCAATAAATTGAGATTGTCCCGTGTTATTAAACGCTTAATAAATATGCATACATATTAGGCACTTAATGACATGTGACAACCTCAATTTATTGGGTCAGGAATGATTATTCTCAATTTTTTTAATAGATACATTGGGCTTTGGCCAATACGTATAAAAAGGAAAATATAAAAATTACAACTTTTGTTTTAGGGTTTCTTCTTAATGGTTAACCTTTTGGCTATTTATATTAGATTCCACTAGTATATTTAACCGCATCGAACATATATGAATGAAACTTTATTGCGATCCCTAAATTGATGCATATTCCAAGGTATGTAGTTTAATTTAATCATGAGATAAATTGTTCCTGACCAAATAACTCCATAAAGTTAAAGTCAAAATATTATACATTAGTGGTTTACCTAATACATAAGTATATTATACCTTTAATAACACGTGACAACCTCAATTCATCAGGTCATTAGTGATTATCATCAATTTTTCTAATAAATATATGGAAGCCTCTATATATAAAAGGACAATATGAGAATTATAACTTTTGTTTTAGGATTTTTTCTCAATGACTAACCTTTTGACTACTTATATTAGATTTAATTAGTATATGTACCCGCATTGAATATATATAAGTGAAGTTTTATTTGGATTCCTAAATTGATTGCATATTCCAATGTATATGGTTTAATTTGTTCATGTTTTTTCATCCTCCACCTTGTTGTACTTTTTAATTCTCTTTGATTTTGGTTATAAACATTTTGAATTGATCAAAATTGTTTGTTGGATGAGATTATCGAGGGTTGGTTGGTTGAGTAGAAGATACCGAACTTGAAATGTTTACTTATGAAACTTGTTTTTGTTATATTTCTATTAACAAAATAATTTTTCTCATTTAAAGAAAATTGTTTCTTAGAAAAATATTTACACCAACTAATATATGTAACAGCATCAAATATAAATGAAATGAAAGTGTATTGCTGCATATTCCAAACTATATACGTAATACCTCCGATCAAACATAGAATAAAATAATATAACATTTTATACTGAAAATCATGTCTTATACCTCACAATAAACGAATCCTCTATGCTTTGCATCATTCCACCTCGAATGCAAATTGCAGCCATAACTTTCCATTTGCCGGCGAGTTGTTCCGGCGAGAGAAACACGAATCTGAACCTTCTCTTCTTAGAATGAAGTAACATTTTTGCAGAGAATTGCGTGAAAGAGTCGAAATTTTCATCATAAAATTGTTTGACAGTATGCTCAATAGTACCGTCGATTTGCCGCCGCCGCCGCCACCCAATTAAGAATCGTCTGAAGGTATATTAGGGCTAAATAAAAATTCGGTTTAATGTTTAAGAGGGTAATTTTTGGATTTTCTCAAAATATTATGGATCAAGTACACTTTTTATTTCTGATATATAAAAATGACAAAAGATTTTCTTTTTCCAATTAAATGGTATTTTTCATTAAAGATGTCAATTTTAGAGAAGTAATTGTTACTATTCTATAAATATAAACATTCCTTTAAGATTAATTAAGAGTTTGTGATTTTTGCTTTAGGTAGAAATTAACTTAAATTTCACGTAAATAAGGTGTTATAACTTGTAAATTATTTTCTTGATGTTTTAAATGAATATATTTAGAAGATTGTTATGTTTTTTTTATTATATTACTTTTTCATTATTAAGAGAAAATATATCATTATTCCATTAAAGTTAGACCCGTTTTGTAAAAAGATACTTGAATTTTATGAAGTTTCTAACTTTCTATTGCCTCATTAAACTACTTTCAAATTTGATATTTGATACGTAATTTCACTTATTTTTGCACCTGTTGTGTTCTCACATAGCAAGAGAGCGTGAGTAGTTTAAAAAACAATCTCTAACCAATATAAAAAAGTCGTGTGGCATTTCAAATTGAATTTTTTTTTAAAATAAAGATTTATCTTCCACGAATCAATTTAAACACCATTAACAGCTTTTGAAACTTGTTGGAGTGTCTATGGCCGAGCACTGTAGTATTTCTCGAAGTTCGATTTACTGTGAAGTGGTGAGTACTCATTTAGTCATCCTTTTGGACCTGTCATTTGCTTCACATATCTTCTTCGTCATTGCGATGGTACAATTTATCATAGTCGACATTTGATATTTTCTGACGGATATGATGAAAAGATAACAAAAGTCATGAAAAGAAAAAATGAAGAGAAAGAAGGTCATTGTTAGTCACCATATTATCTGACGAATAAGCATTTTCTGGCAAAAATGACAGACATTAATGGTGGTTAGTCATGGTTGCTTCAACAATCTTGGTGTTAAACTGCTAATAGAAGGTATTTGTATAGTCAAAGAATAGAATAAAATGATAATTGTTTTTCTAAAATTACAATGATAATAACATAAAAATAAGAGATTGATTTTTGTTTACCGTTTCTTATTGGAGTTAATTGTCATTTCTTATTTGTTGAAGAAGGTCAGAGAAAGGGAAGAAGTAAAAAAATTCTTTTTTCATATTTACTTTTATAATTTATGACATTTAACACATGGCGATTTGAGATTGGGGCGTAAAAATCAAATATTTTCTCACAACTGATTTTAACGAAATATGAGGCAATGTTATTACTTCTAAATTGTTCAGGGTGTTAGGACCCCGCAAAATTTAAGTGTCTCTTTACAAATGAAATATTAATTCAGGGTGGACTTTATATATTTTCTCGGGAAAATGCACAAGCACCCCTCACCTATGCTCGAAAT